GCGGGGTACACCCTGGACAGGTCGCAAATGCAGCACCTTTATATTCTCTTGAAATAACAGGTGGTCTTCTGAAGTCTGTGAGAACACCACCTGATTTGCCTTGTTTACTTTTGCTACTGGTTGATCTGAGACACATCTAAAACTTTGTAACATTCTGTGGTTTGTAAATAACTCTGTGACCTCGATTTCAACTCTATTTGCCTCACAGGTCATTTTGACCCGAAGACCATCTTTGTACTTTTTTTTGTACAGCTTACATGGAAATGTGAATAAAAGCAACATTTAACTTTTTCTATTGTTTTGGCCAATCTAGGCAAAGTCTTAAAATCTCAAGTTAAAAAAATAACATTTAGGGGATTTTTTGGGGGGTTTTAACACAGTGGCGGGTCATTTTGACCCGAAGACAACAGGAGGGTTAAGATCAAGTTTATCCGTTATAAAACAGCTTCAGATAGAAAAAAAATTGCATTTATTTGGAGGATCAGTGATGGTTCCAGCAGAGTCTTGTAAGACTCATCCTTTGTTTTTTTTTTCCACAGTATAAGATTTTTTTCTTTTCTTCTCAGTGTTCAACTCCATGAACCTTTCTTGTTTTTTAAGAAACTTTCGTCATCAGATGGCTTTTCATTGTGGTCCAAAGTTAGGATTGAGTTTAAAATGTGGAGGACTGATAGTCAGAGGTCTATAAAATACTTAAAAAATAACAAAGTAAAAGTAAAAATACCTTAACAGAAAATGACTGGTAAAAATAAATTTCACTGATGAGAAAAATCCTTAGTTCAAGTCATAAAACTGTTCATAAAAATTGGGAAAGTACTTTTTCATACACTAAGAAATACACTGTAGAATTTACTGAACCCCTTAACAGTCTTTGTTTCACCAGTGGGCAAAAATATTTTGGTTTCTGCCTTTAAACTTTTCCAGATGCTGTCGAGGGCTTTTCTTTTGAGGAGGTGTCAGACAACTTCCTCCGTTTCTTACCTTTAGTTTGACACCTTTAAAAATGTCAAAAGGCCTTTAAGGGATTTCAGGGGCATCTGTTAAGGGGTTAACCAAACTGGTTCCACTAAACCAAGTGGAGAAAATATTCTTGCATCATATTTACTCCACTAGGTTTAGTGAAACCAGTTGACATGACTTGGTTGAGTAAATTCAACACTTCATTTTTTAGAGCGCATAAACAACTCCTTTCATGTTGAGTTTGGACATATTTCATTTTGTAACAAGTAACTAGATGGTAAAGTAAAGAAGTAAAAGTATCAATTTTAGGTTTTAAATGTAACAAAATAAAAGTAAAAATAACGATTTAAAAAAATACTTAGTAAAATTACAAATCCTCAAAAAAATTACTTAAGTACTGTAACTAAGTAAATGTACTTAGTTATTATAAACCTTTGCTGATAGTNTGGACATATTTCATTTTGTAACAAGTAACTAGATGGTAAAGTAAAGAAGTAAAAGTATCAATTTTAGGTTTTAAATGTAACAAAATAAAAGTAAACTTGAACTGAACTGAAAAAAATAATTGGCAAAATTACAGATCCTCAAAAAAACTTAAGTACTGTAACTAAGTAAATGTACTTAGTTATTATAAACCTTTGCTGATAGTTGTTCATGTGGTTCTGTTGTGTTTTACTGAGACACTTCTCCTATTTCCAGCATTCTCAGCTGTCCAATGGAAACCAGTAATAAAGTGAAATTGTGACATATTTCCTGTGTTGCTGTTAACATTTAGTTTCTGTCTTTCTGTCTCAGGATGGCGTTATAATGGGATGGATCTGAATATGGCCAAATGGACAGGCATGCAAGCTCTTCTCCTCAATGTGGCTCTTCAGCTCTTCCTCCTGCTTTTCAAGCCATCAGCCTCCTATGATCAGAAGACCCATGAAGCCCCTCAGGATGGAGCAAACTTCAGCTTTACCCATTCAGTTTACCACACAACAGTTTATGAAAACTCAGCAGCGCGCACCTATGCCAACAGTAAAATTAAAATGGGCATTCATCTTTCCAAGAGATCCTGGGAGATCCGCTACAGAATCACCTCAGGAGATGATGAAGGGCTTTTCAAGGCCGAGGATTATGTGCTGGGGGACTTTTGTTTCCTGCGCATAAGGACCAAGGGGGGCAATGCAGCCATCTTGAACCGAGAGATTCAGGATAACTATGTACTAACTGTGAAAGCCTCTGTCAAGGGAGAGGCCCTTATTGAGACCTGGACTAAAGTCAGCCTCCAGGTCTTGGACATGAATGACCTCCGACCTTTGTTCTCACCTACCACATACTCTGTTACCATAGCAGAGAGCACTCCTCTCAGGACTAGCATAGCACAAGTTACTGCTACAGATGCAGATATTGGCTCCAATGGAGAGTTTTACTTTTTTTTCAAGGAGAAAATGGAATTGTTTGCCGTACACCCAACCAGTGGAGTGGTCTATCTCAGCGGAAAGCTTAATGTTGATGAGCAGGACAGGTATGATTTGGAAATCCTAGCAGTGGACCGTGGCATGAAGCTCTATGGGAATAACGGAGTCAGCAGCACAGCCAAACTTTTTGTTCACGTAGAGCGTGTGAATGAACATACCCCAGTCATGAATGTGGTCACGCTCAGCCCCTTCAGGTTGGATAAAAATCCTGTGTATGCAATGCTCACTGTTGAAGACCTCGATGAAGGGTTGAATGGAGAAATTGATTCTGTTGTCATTGTGGGCGGGGACCCTTCAGGACTGTTTTTCGTAGACAAATATGAAGAGGGCGAGTTTGCCATTAAAGCCACTGAGGCAGTAAACTGGGAGACCTTCCCATTTGGCTGTAACCTCACCTTACAAGCTAAAGACAGAGGAGTCCCACAAAAGTTTTCTGATGCCAAGGTTGTCCACATTATGTTCTCCAAACAGCAGACGACAGAATCGAACTTTGAGCAGGAGTTGTATGAAGTTTGTCTAAATGAAGTTTCACCTCCAGGAACAATTGTAGGAGCTTTTAAAATCCAACCTGAGTCTGATGATGCAGAGTATGTCCTGATCCCTTCAGCAGATTCCAATTTTTTTAAACTCAACTCCCTAACAGGTGTCATCTCTACCACTCACTGGTTCACTCAGACATCCCAGGACATTTTTATTCTTGAAATACTGGAAATAGAAACTAACCTACGAGCTAAAGTACAGCTAACTATTGAAGATGCCAATGATAACACGCCAACATTTGCCCAGTCTTTCTATGAGGTTTTTGTGAATGAAAGTGTGCCGATTGCAACTAATATTCTAACGGTTTCTGCTGTAGATGATGATAAAGGTGAAAATGGATATATAACTTACAGCATTTACAGTCTTCAGTCATTACCCTTCAAAATCAACCAGTTTTCTGGTGTCATAAGCACCACTACAGACTTGGACTTTGAATCCTCCCCAGAAATCTTTGTGTTTAAAGTCCGAGCTTCTGACTGGGGCTCACCTTACAGGCGAGAAAGTGAAGTCAATATTACCATTCACTTAGAGAATGTAAATGACAACCAACCATTATTTGAAAAGGTAGCATGCAAGGGGGTGATTTCTGCAGATTTCCCAATAAATGAAATAATTACCACAATGTCTGCCATTGATGTAGATGAGTTAGAACTTGTAAAGTATAAAATAATTTCAGGGAATGAGCAGGGGTTCTTTGAACTCAACCCTGATTCAGGAGTCCTTGCACTTCAGCGTTCTCTTGCTACACTGAGTTCTAAGAACAGCATCTTCAGCTTAAAGATAACTGCCACAGATGGTGAAAACTTCTCCGATCCCATGTTCATCAACATCTCAGTTGTTCATGGCAAATCTCTCCCTAAACATTTAACATGTAAAGAAACAAGAGTGGCCCAAAAACTGGCTGAAAAATTACTGAAAAAGTCCAAAGCAAGCACCAGGCCTAAATTGGAGGAAGGTTTTATTGACCTTTTCTCTGTCAATCGACAAACACCTCAGTTTGATAAAGCATTTCCCTCAGAAATAGCTGTGCAGGAAGACCTGAAAGTTGGCTCAAATGTTTTCAGAGTAAACGCGTATGATGGGGACACTGGCTTCAATGGGCAGATTGTATACTCAATAGCAGATGGAAACACTGACAGCTGTTTTACCATTGACATGCAGACTGGTCTAATCAGTGTGTTTCTGCCAATGGACAGAGAACAGAGAGATCATTATCTCCTCAACATAACTATCTATGACCTTGGCCTCCCACAGAGAATGGCTTGGCGTTTGCTTACGGTCCACATAGAGGATACAAACGATAATGCACCTCAGTTTTTGCAAGAAGGAGGCTATAGAATAGTCCTACCTGAAAACACTGCTATAGGTACAGATGTCATACAAGTTGAGGCTACTGATAAAGATCTTGGACCCAATGGGGAGATTGTATACTCTCTTTTGACAAGCACCTCCCAGTTTGGCATTAACTCTACTAATGGAATTGTGTATGTTGCTGGCCATCTAGATAGAGAATTAGTTCCTACTTTTAACCTGAAGATTGAGGCTCGAGACTCAGCAGGCAAAGGGAGACACAAGTTTTCTGTGACAACTTTGAAAATCCTGTTGGAGGATGTAAATGACTGTCCCCCACTCTTTATTCCCAGTGTGTACAAAGCCAGGGCTCTGGAGGACCTTCCAATTGGAACTGTTGTGGCCTGGCTAGAGACCCAGGACCCAGATCTGGGCTTGGGTGGCCAAGTACGATTCTCTCTTGTTAATGACCACAATGGTTGGTTTGAGTTGGACCGGAACAGTGGAGCTATTCGACTCACAAAGGAGCTAGACTACGAGACCCAACAGTTCTACAACCTCACAGTAAAGGCCAAGGACAAGGGAAGACCAGTGTCTCTGCTCTCTGTCACCTTTGTGGAGTTGGAAGTAATAGATGTGAATGAAAATCTCTACGCTCCGTACTTCACCCACTTTGCGTTGACTGGATCAGTTAAAGAGAACGCCCCAATTGGAACCACTTTATTTAAAGTTAGTGCTAATGATGATGATGCTGGTCGAGATGGAGAAATCATCTACTCCATTCGTGATGGGACTGGGCTTGGACGGTTTTTTATCGATGAAGACACAGGTGAGTCTTCTTTAACTAATTCATTTTAATTATTGTTGACAGGTGGAAACATGATGGGGCGGCTGTGGCAGAGTGGTTAGGGGAGTCCTCCAGTTGCATCAGACCATGTAAAACAAAAAATCATACCACAATCTTCAAAACATGCATCCATGTCAAAATCATGTTTTATTTGTGTTGGCAAAGACAGAAAACTTTTCATATTGGGATGAACTATTCTGTCAGCTTTGTTCAGATAAAATCAGAATTTAAAATCTGGACTACATCAAGGACTGAAAGGCAGCAGGGACTAACGGAAACAGACAAATGGTTGAATCGTGTAAAATACTCCTGAAGACCTCACTAAGACCATACAAAGACCTCCGAATGCAATTGTTTGTTTTTGCTGTGTACAAACTCTTTGCTCGGTTTGTCTCCTCCTCTACCAGGTATGATCTACACCACAGACACATTGGATCGAGAGACCAAGGACTCCTATTGGCTAACAGTGTATGCCAGTGACCGCGGTGTGATTCCTCAGTTCACCACTATCGAGGTGTTTGTTGAAGTGGAGGATGTTAACGACAATGCTCCTTTGACCTCTGAGCCCTTGTACCGCTGCTCAGTACCTGAGAATTCTCCCCGGGATGTTTCTGTGGTCCAAATCCAAGCTCAGGATCCAGATGTCTCACCCACCAACACCGACTGGCTCAGCTACAGGATCGTCAGTGGAAACCCCCAGAATTTCTTCACCATCAACCCTCGCACTGGTATGCACCTGGTGATGAGTTTGAAGAAGCTTTGTAAAAATTGTGTTTAAACATCAAACAACCTTAAATTTAGTGAGTAATATGATTATTATTGATTATTAGATAAATAAAATCAGATAAAGTTTTAGGAAAATCAGAGGTATAAAAGTATGAATGGTAGAAAAGGGACTTTAAAGTAGACATATGCTTTTAAATCCTTCCTTTTCACATTTAAATCATTCAGTTGGGTTTTATAAAGTGAAACTGCTTTGGTCTGATTCCTTCTTTATTCTAACTTCACCAGCTCATCTTTCACCATTTTTCTGGTGTGTGCCTCAAAGCAGCTCGATTTGATACTGGCTGTGTCTCAATTCATGGATTGCAGCCGTTGTAGATAATGGCCCACGTTGGTTGCAGTCTACGTGGGCTGTAGGCCGCTCCTGTTGGCTGCAAAAACAGCTGTGTAATGTGACGGTCTAGTTTACAGTAGACATACAGTATGTTTGCTTGGGATCCCGTCGACCATGTAGGATACTTAGATGCAGCCTACGTTTTGGGGTTTTGTTGGCCACCTGAGTAGGTGCCCACAAATTTTGACAGTGTACAAATGCATCCTACATCAGCAGCAACTCGTGAATTGAGACACAGCCACTGTACCTTTAAGACGCTTCAAGCCCTGCCCCCTGGCTTCCAGACCGGTCCACTCCAGTTTGAGAGAGGGGGTTACGTTTTCTAGCTGTGCAGAGATGTTTTATTTACTATTTAATTAAAATATATCGACAACAAAGGACTTGTCCATCCAGCCTTACATGTTGGAGTCAGAAGCTGCGTTTCCATTGACCATAAAAATGCGCAAATTAGAATTTCCAAAATAAATTTGCTCAATGGAAACATGTCAATTTTGGGAAAAAAAAATGTTTTTCGACAAAACGTTTTTGCGCTAGGATGAGGTGGTATTTCGGCCGTATCGAAATTGGTGTTTTGCGCAAAACTGTAATAGAAATACTTTTTTCGTATCACAGGAGTCACGTGATCAACAACCGGCTGTTTCTACTGGCGAAAAAGACGACGACAAAGATAACAGGAAGTAGAAGTAGTAGTAAAATCACAGCATACGTAGCCGCTCCCAAGTAGGGACTTGTCTCTGGAAAGCCTCGATAAAAGACGCCGACGTCTCCTCTGATGATGAGCGCTAGTGTCGCGGTAGCAACATGCTATGTGTTTACATCCATCGCCGCCATGTTTGTAATGACTTATCGCGAGAACAAACATATTCACGCGTGACTTTAATAGCATTTCTTACTTAATGGAAACACCACCATTGCGTAACTGTGTTTTTCGACATTGACAGAATATCGACAAAGTTTTGCGCACATTTGCAATGGAAACGCAGCTAGAGTCTGGCCAAGAGCCAGAGAAAAATTAAGACGAGGAAATTGTAGTTGGTCCAGACCTTCTATGGTAATTCTGTTGCAGATAATTTGAGGTAATAGTTCAGAAAACATCATAGAAAATATAGAAAACTGAAAAATCTGACCCAAACAGAATATAAATACTGTATATCTCTGCAGCACCAGGAGAGACTAAATTCAACTTTTCTTTCTCCTAGAGACTCCAAGTCCACAACAAAATGTATTCAATAGCTAAAAAAGTAGATTTTGCAGATTTGTCCCCTTTAATGTTTCAGAGCCTATTTACATCATAAAGCTGATTAGTTCTAACCTAAATAATTCTCATTCTAATGGAAAAGAATTTAGGAAGAAATCAGGAATTTGTTCACGAAATCCCATTCAGATCTAAAGGAAATAACTCGTCTGAGCTTTAATTTGTAAAAGCAGAGTGGGTCAGTTAGCAGATTTTGAACCTTTTAAATCAGCTTTAGTTCTAGAGTTTAGCTGCAGTTCCTCCATCCATGTGGAAACTGTGATGAAACCTGTGAAAAGAAAGCACAGAGAGCCTTGTTCATTTCAGCTGTCCAAAGTTTCTTAGTTTTGCTTATTTAATAAAAACTTATTGTATAAAAGAATGAATGAAAAGCAAGTTGAAACGTTTTAACACAGTAGTGTTTATTTCTGTTCCTTTGGGTTTTACTGAGCTGCTCCTGATTAATATTTATTATCGCTACACTCAGCTAGTGCTGTACCAAACGATTATTTTCTAATCGATTAATCTAATGATTATTTTTTCGATTAATCGTTTATTCTAACAACAAATCTATAAGTTATTCTGATGTGAGTGCACTGGAAATTTAAAAT